GTTTGTGCTGTTCACACTGTCATGACAAAAACAGATCCGAGTCACGTGTGAGCAAAAAAATCGGATTTGGGCACATTTGCCAAATATAGTTAAAAATATAGTTTTTAAGTCTTTGGTGGCTACTGTATTGAATTTACTGTATACTGTATGACCAGATGTGTTTTTATTGTGCTAGTTTATTTTAAACAAGTTAACATCACAGTTACAGTAGGGCACTTATAAGTTATCCCATTAAAAACATTTACATTTAGTAATTTAGCAGACGCTTTTATCCAAAGCTACTTACAAATGAGGGCAATAGAAGCCATCAAAACCAACAAGAGCAATACTATGTAAGTGCTGTCTCGGTTAGCCTAATGCAGTACACATAGCAAGGTTTTTTTATACAACAAATAAAAAGAAAACAAGTAGGCAGACTAAAAAAATAATAGGGAGCGCTAGTGTTAGAGGTTCATTTTTTAAACAAGTCAAAAGAATAGAGAATGCAAGTGTTAGGCTCTTTTTTGTTTTTCTTTTTAAAGAAAACCAGTAGTTAGAATAGAAATAGAGAGTGCAAGTGTTAGAGTTTTTTAAATAAAAAAGAAAACAAGTAGATAAAATAGAATTATAATATAGAGTGCGAGAGTTGAGAAGATGGAAGAATGGAAACAAACATAAACTTCAGACATTACCTCATGCATTGTTCAGTGCTAATGCTGCCTAATATTGATTGTTCAAGACGATCAATAATGGCCAGCAAAGTATGAAGACAAATTAGTGTTAGTGCACCTTCGTATGCATTTTTTAATGGGAACATGCCTCTGCCTGTCAAACTAAAGTAGATCATGCCTTATATACAGTAGTAACCAGTATTGATTGAATAATTACGATTAGCTGCATCTTTTTTAGAGAAAACCTGATTAATGGCAGTTGTTGAATTTCAGGCCGAACGTTGAGTCTCTCGGTATGCGCTTTGGTATGATGAAGGAGCATCGGCCTACTACAGGGGAGGTAGTGGCTTTTGACGGATCCATCCTCTATCTGCCAAAACGTCTTGAAGAGGTTTGTGTGCATGTTAGATGTTTGTTTGTTTTTTCACTTTAAACGCACGTAATTACTAGGGGTGTACCGGTTCACATATTCGTACCTGCGGTACTGCGAACAAATACAGCATTGTATTAACCACTGCATGAGTGGAACTTCACTGAAAGTCTTTTTTCAGGAAATTCAAACAATAAATGCCGTTTTGATGCTCTCTGTTGTGGCGTGACAGATCGCTGTATAAACGCCTCTGTTCAAACGGCACCGCGATCACCCCTTCCTCTTTTCTACTAGGTTTAATGTGAAATAAATAGGGGTGCTCCGATCAGGATTTTTGAGGGCGATCACTGATTGTCGATCCCAGAAAGCAGTATCTGCCGATCCGATCACCGATACCGATCCTTCTTTTTATCATGTAGAATTATTTATAGTAATACTCCAATCAGGATTTTTAGACATTTATTCAGGGCTTGGGATGGAACGATTACCGGTTTGACGATAAATCATGATAAAATTCCCCATGGTTAGTATTACCGTTTCATCTTTTAATTATCATTAAAACCGTATTAGATTACCACGATTTGAACAACTCGCGATAAATAAATACTGTCCAGCATAAAGCACCGTTTTGACAGTCTCCCGTGCGTACAGCACGCAGAGTAGTTTCGTTTTGAGTGAAAACAGGACGGAAAAGCTGAGAGGTTTTAAAAGAATTATACAAATTAATTATGAATGTACCTCTGAAGGTTCTGACTGTCTTCAGAAACGATTCGAATTTTTACAATCGTGCAATTGTTGCACAATAGCTTACAAACAGCACAAGCCTGATTTTGTGAGCTGTATGCCAGGTTCACACATACTCCTTTTGCAGTGCGCATGCAGTCCATGTGTGGTGCAGAAGCATTACAAACTGTGCATGCTTTTACACAAGAGTCTGCTACTGATCCGTGGCTGTTTACCACAAACACAACATTTATCCATTATTTTGATTTCAAATCCGAACATTATTACTGAAAATGCTTTTTCAGCATTGTGATTCTTTTATAGTAATACAATCTTTCATAGACGTGTTTAAATTCAGTAAATGTAAGCAACACATTCAATGCTTTTTACTTTTGCATTTACTTCTAGATTTATATATTAAGTTGCTCAAGCAAGTGGCAAAACATTTAAACTACTTTTCTTACGTTATCACAAACATTCTAAATTAAAACTTACCATTGACAGAAACAGTCAGCACTTTGCTTTAGCATTTAAATCTTTATTACAAGCAATCATGCGGTTCATAAAGAACTTTGTTTTCCTACCTCCATGAGTGCCATCTATTATTGCCTTGTTTATCTGAAAGTGCTCTTTTCCTTTAAACCTAGCCAAAAAGCCTGTGACTGTTTACTGTGAAACACAGTAGACTTTAATTTAATATATGCATTTTATTGGTATTATTACTACATTTTCTGTCAATCCATGTTCATATTTACCGCAAAAAATGCGCTGTCACAGCACAGCTCCTCTCCTGGACCACAACCGTGTGCAGTGTGAACGCTTTAATCCGTTAACATGAGCAAGGAAAAAAATACACACTGCAAACGGAGTATGTGTGAACCTGGCGTTATGTGTGTGCGCTGCGAGTGTGCATGAGCGCACGGTCTCCGGGAGAACACTGGTTAAACACTGGCAAGAATTAAAAAGAAATGCATTTAATAAACTTTAGTGACGATAAGACACTGCCTTGATTGTGCAAGTGACAATTCATGTGGAGCACCCCTAGAAATGAACATCTCATGCCTCACGTGATCGCTCAATCAACCACGGAAAGACGTCAATAAAACAGCTTGTAAACAAAATGTCACGTAGCATTTCATTGACCTCAGGCAAGTCATCAGTGTCCACAGCTCGTTAGTTCACTAGAGAAATGAAGTCTAGGGAAGAGCATTTCGTGAAATATTAGACTATATACTCATTATATTTTATTTTACCAGTTAGTGATGTCTTAATTATTTAATGCATGTTTAAATAAATCTGTTATGAAACAAGTTATGACAGCCACTGTGTAAATGAATATATTTCAGCAACAAATATAATTTTTATCATTTAGAAGTTAATTTAAAAACTGCATTGTGCAATTTACATATATATATTTTTTTTAATTGAGTGTTGATTTATTATATTTAAAAATAAATAGTAATTGAATTTAAGTTCGGGCTCTGTTTTTAATTGTAAAAGGGCTCCCTATAGTTTAGAGCAGTGTTTCTCAACTGGTGGGGGTCGAGAGACCGTTCTGGGTGGGTCGCGGAGTGTACAGCCAAAGAAACGACATCAACAACAAAAAACGGCATTCTAAATGTTTTTCTGATGCGAGACTTTTATTTTAAAAGATGTGCATGAAAGCTGTTGACTCTTCTGTCAGATACAGTTTAAGTAAAGTGTGCCTGAGAAAAATGCGCTGTCCCGATTCAGTATCTGCAGTTAGATGAGATGTTGACAGGCTTAATGTCATTAGTCTATCGTTATTTTCGTAACTTATGAAAAAAAAGTCTCTCACCTCAGAAAAATGAACTATTCTGTCCTGCCAGATGTTATAGCGCGCACTCGTCAATAGCACGCGCAAATGCGGCGGCACACTGCATATCACTTCACTAAAGCGCAGAAACTACGTGCATGCAACACGTAAAATAAAAGTACAGTAGCCTGCTGATAAATCACATAACAGGTACTGCGTGTGTTAGCTGGGAAGGATTTGCATGACGGTATGATGATATTCATTCTATTCAGGAGCAGTTTCCACGTTTCATTAACAGTTCATGTTAGTGTATATTCACCATGGTAACTGTTGTTTCCATAACCCAAAAATGCCATGTTGTTTTCACTTTGTGTCATTTTGTATGTTTAAATGACTGTGGTGGCCCAACTTAATTGTATTAACAAAAACAAGTTTGGGACTATTTAACAGCCTTACCTTATACAGTCGTGGTCAGAATTGTTGGCACCCTTGGTAAATATGATCAAAGAAGGCTGTGAAAATTAATCTGCATTGTTAATCATTTTGATCTTTTATTTTTAAAAATTCACATAAATCTAACCTTTCATTGGAGAATAAGAATTTAAAATGGGAGGAAATATCATTATGACAAATGTTTTTCTCTAATACACATTGGACACAATTAATGGCACCCTTTTATTCAATGCTTTTTGAAACCTCCATTTGGCATAATAACAGCTCTGAGTTTTCTCCTATAATGCCTGATGAGGTTAGAGAACACCTGACAAGAGATCAGAGACCATTCCTTCATCCAGAATCTCTCCAGACCCTTCAGATTCCCAGCTCCATGATGGTGCTTCTCCTCTTCAGTTCACCACACTCATTTTCTATAGGGGGGTGCCAATAATTCTGATCACGACTGTAGGCTGTTTATTCAGTATTAGTCATATTCTTAACAGTCTTAATTTTTGTGAAATAAATATGCTTTGTTTTTGTTTTAACAAATTTTATATATAACAATATAATATAATAAATATAATATAATATAACAATAAAACGTGGGTCCCAAGGCCAAACCAGTTGAGAACCACTGGTTTAGAGCATAAGCTGAGGTAGATTTCTGTCCCTAAGAAAATTAATTATAATTAAATTATTTTAAAGAAAGGGCAATTTGTTCCGTAAACCACAGTTTAATAAAAAATAAAAAAAAGCAATTTTATGTTTAGTTTTTCCCCCCGCTGTACCTACACCAAACGTGACATCAAAACCAAGGTACGCACCGAACCATTACATCCCTACTAATTACCCAAGCTTACTTTGGCTTTTCTGTGTAACAGGTTGTTCATCTTAAAGCTGAGAGAAAAACTGACAATCAAGAGATTGACATCAAGATCCAGTTGACAAAGATTCTGCCGCCCAGCTCTGATCTGTGTATCCCATTCTACAACGTGGTCCTAAGGAGGTGTGTATTCTCCATGTATAATATAAGGATTCTCAAGACACTGCAGGTCATATGCAGGGCTCCAGACTGCGACCATTTTTTCTGCCTGTGCGACTAAACTTTGTGAGCGGTCGCACTGGCGCGACCACCACATTGTTCAACTCATAAGCGCTGCCATTTCTGTTGCATATGAGAAACATCAAACGGCAAACGAAACTGAAAGCATAACGAAACCGCGCTACTCATTTGAACTGGTCAGCGCTTCGAGTGTAGAGCCTGGTTTATACTCGCCGCGTCAGCACGAGCGCGAAGCTGCGCGCAGCAAAAATGATGCAAATATTGAGGAAACGATGGATGGTTTTCAAGCTAAAGTAAAAGACCGCTTCTTAAACCAGAGAAGGTGAACATGTTGGTATTCATGTGGGGAATGATTTGATTCCTCAGTGTTTGCTAAACGTTCTGTAATTTATTAGTCGGTATATAATACAGCATGTGGTGTATGCTATGCCTCATCTTATTCGTTTTTGTTAATACGTTTAAACGTTTTGTAAGCTAGTTTGTCATTGTATCTTACTGTTTTATTGTTGTTGTGCTTTTTAATTAAGAATAACAATGAATCCATCTTTTGTTTTAGTCTTAAAAAGTGAAAGGTGTGTGGATGTATGTAAGCAAATCAGACAATTATCTTTTCTTGTAAAACGTGACTTATAATTATACTTTATTTCGAGCACTACTTGTGCACAATGCACATTTCTTAATATTAAGCTTAAAATGTGTTTTAATGTCACTATTGATGAGGATTATATAATCTTTGAATAATATCGGTCTTCAAATGCAAGATTTTTTCAAGTGCACCTGAAGTGTACTTGCAATAGTTCCACTTTTGCACGATCAAATATACTTAGTATATCTTTAGTTGGACTTCAGCACTACTTCTGCACAATTAAAGTGCATTAAACACAAAATGAGTTGTTCCAATTTAACAGACTTTAAGTATACCAGGTTAATATACCAAAAGTACAGTTGCAGGGTATTTTTATTAAGTACATAAATATGTAAATGTATTTGTAGTATACCTAGCGTGAAATAAATGTTTCAAATACTAGGTATGCACCGATATGAAAATTTTGGCCGATACCGATAATTCTTTATATATGAAAACCGATATGTTGCCCGATAAATCTAAATCCAAATTTTAATATAATTTTTGAGAGCCTGCTTACAAAAATAGCCTCACCATTAAAAGCCATTAAACACTTCAACGTAAATCAAACATAAAGCAGCCTTACAAATAAATAAAATAATGCAAACAAGTATCTAGACAACATTACTTGCGTGTAAAAAAATAAAAAAAATCATGTGCCACGGATAAATTAAACGGAATAGACTTCGCACAGACAATAATGAAATTATTTTAATTAAACCATATTGTTGATGAAAATAATAAGATAAAATTAGGTTGGTTAGTATTAATAATATATCAATGATTTTGAAAAAGAAGTACCTTAAATTAATACCATTGTTTCAAATGGCAGCATTTCTGTTTAAGCTGCGTGCGCTGTTGCTGAAGAGCTGAATGAACACCGGTAAACTGAAGCGCTTTGATAGTGGGTTAATTATGCTATGAGAATCAGATATTTATACAACATAAACATAATATTATAACTTACAAATGCACAAAAAGACACAAATGCACAAGTGATCTTGAACTAAGTTACGCGCTAGTCAGATGTGTAACTTGACGTGCTGTTCTTCCCATAACAACGAGCTGAAACACGGCAAATAAACCCAAAGAATTCACAACTTTTATTACGGTAATGTTCTCTTTATAATGTTTCGCATATGACATTCCCAGTTATACTAGTTATTAATGTTATGCACTGCTGTTCACACTGCGTGCGCTGAAGCTGAAGAGCTGAATGAACACCGGTAAACTAAAGCGCTTTGCTGGCAGCTTATTTAACTCAAGGAAATGCATAATATATTAGATTAATCAGATATGAGATTAATCCGATATTTATACAATATAAACATAATGTTACAACTTGTATATGTACAAAAAAACGCAAATGCACAAGTGAACTCGAAGTAAATTACGTGCTAACCAGAATATAGCTATCATAGTTATTAATGTTGTGCACTGCTGTTTGAGCTGCGTGCGCTGAGCTAAAGATGATCACCGGTAAACTGAAGCGCTCTATTAGCCAAACGCGTTCTATATGTGATAAATCAGACCTATATGCATAAAATAAACACAATATTACAGCGTACAATTGCACAAAAGGCTGCAAATGCACAAGCGAAAATAACTGCGCTTGTCATGAAGGTGCAGCTCCGTTGTGAATGCGCTCTTCCCGTAACAATGCGCTTAAACACGGGCACACAAAGATTCCATTATTTAACAGTAATGTTCTTATTATATTATGACAGACTTTTCCTGCACATGTTGCACTTCACTGTATTTTCCTTTTCAAAGTGATTCCAATAGTATTTCAAGCAATTAAAAACCATCATGGCGAACAGTGCGCATCTGAAGTGTCTCTGCAGGAAATAATGCATTATTTATCGGCTTTAATATATCAGTAAAAAAATGTTATCGGTTCAATAACGATAACATTAAAATGAACATTTATCGGCCGATGCCGATATGGTGGCCGATATATCGTGCATCC